ACTGATATAAATCTTATTTTTTGTATTATTATTATAAAATGCTTAGAAATTCTATACTATAAAGGGATATGAAGCAATTTTTCATTTTAGGGGATTAAGCACCTTGAATTTGCAACAATGATGTTGTAGATGTTTAAGATGTGTTCTTGTTGTGTTCCCCTGCTTTCATCCTTTTCTTCTTCATCTTTTTTCACTCCTGTGTTAGTATGCAGAGATATGTGTATATGTGTACATATGCCTGCGTACATATGCCTCTGTGTGTGTGTGTGTGTGTGTGTGTGTGTGTGTGTGTGTGTGTGTGTGTGTGTGTGTGTGCGTGTGTGTGCGTGTGTGCGGTGTGTGTGCGGGTGTGTGTGTGTGTGTGTGTGCCTAGTTAGGGTGGAGGCACATCTGACCTGCTCCACTTTTATTTTGATTTATAAGGCTGGTGGAGAGCATCATCACAGAATCGCTTCATCTTCTCTCCTTTATTACACTACATTTGTTTTCATTTTACTCCCAAGGCCTGGCTGAATACATTACACATTTCCCATGGGGCTGCAGGGGCCAGCTCCTGCACTGTGGGGAGACAATGGGATGACGGGGAGGGATTGCTGAGCATGTTTTATCATTAGAGGCATTATTATTATTTTGACTTCAAAACACCAACACTGGATTATCCATATTCTCAGATTTAGAGGGATAAATTGACATGTTTGTTGTCGCATAAGTCAAGTGTTTGGTCTTAATAACGGATATAATAATTTCTAGAGTCAATAAATGATAATTAGACTCGTGAAAAGAAGGGACTTTTTAACAGATTTGTATTATTCAACGCTTCTTATGGAAAAACAATAAGACTTTCTCTTACACATTAATGTTCCATTTCTACAGAAGAACAAATGATGCAAATGATGCATCCTCTATTCAATTTCCATTTTTAGTGACCCCCATCGGACATCTCTCCGTGCAAAGGGCCTGACAGTCATCTGAGACATTTTTTTGATGCCCGAGGCTGAAGTGAGACAAAAAAATCTGATTCAGTCCCATAAAGATTAAACATTACGGTGGAGGTAATATGGCAATTGGGTTTAGCATACAGAGGTCAATGGCAGGTTAATGCACAACTAATACATGATGGACTACTGAACCACAGGGGGGAGGGGCCTTGTGGTCAAGGGGTTGCGCTGAGACTTGTTTTGGGTCAGACTGGAAAAACATGAGAGGGAGGTGGGGAATTATTCCCATTCATCATTTTTGTCACTTGAATTTGGCTGCAAAGATCTCTGCTCCTTGCTATAACACATTTCTAAAGCAGTGAGGTGATGCTTTGCATTAATAATACAGCTGTAATGTAACAAGCTCAAATAAATTGCTTTTTGATCTTTAAGGTGAGATAATTTATGATTGTTCAGAGCCAGTTGTGCAAAAAAAAAATCAGTCAGTCATTTATTCATGCTGATATCTCTTTATTTACCTTCATGCCAGTCAAATTTTAGTGTCTTAGTTCCATCAGCAAGCAGATGCATTTACCATTGTTCATTTTTTTTAACTGCATATTTAAGACTATCTGTGTTATTAAAATAGGAGGCCATTAAAAGAGGTACATTTATTTTTTATAAACTCTCATCATGTCCCACAATTCCTGTTATCATGCCTGCTAAAACTGTCACTGACAGTCATACTGAACCATCTTTTTCTTCAGACTCATTCTCACGTCCAACATCTACGGCCATGCAGCACTGAAACTGATACCATCTACATCATTTCAAGGACATACAATAACGTCCACTAGCCAATCCGTGTTATGTGAATACATAGAGGGAATGTATCCAGCAACATTATTCCATGATTGAACTCCCAAGGACAAGAGGAAAGAAGAAAAAAAGGAAAATGGGGAATGGAAATGGAGGGAAGGGAGCAGGTACTGTAAGAGGTGTTTCTGCAGTTAAGTATTACAAAAATGCAACATAGAATCAAAACATAATAACTTATAACCTTATTCATGTGTACATGTGTTCTGAGCATATATTAAAACGTGAAAAAATGGAAGGTGTCAGAAAGGTCAGCATTTGTATGAAAGTAAACCAGAATAACAAATACGGCCTTTTAAAAAATCTCGCTGAGCTTGCTGTGAGCAATGCAGTTGGACATGTAAATTTCTTTGCCTTAGCACTCCTGGGGCTAAAATTACTCCTCCTGCACCCATGCACCCTGAATAATAACCCCCTGGATTCTCCCTGTTAGTGGGTTTGGGGGATAGCTGTCAATCAAATCAAAGCCAGACAGAATACATTTACATAGTTACGCTATATCGCAACATCTGAGGGATGCTCAGGTTTGGGCCTGACAAATGATATAAGACTAATTCTATACCTATAATCACGCTTGCATCATGTCTATGGGTTCTAGATCTTTAAGGGTGTACTTGTGTTTTATTATAGAACTAAATTGATTGTGGTGACAACACACAGATAGGTGGAGGCTTGAAAAAGGCCAATGCTGCTGAGATCTTCTGGTGGAGACCCCCACCTAGAGGTAAACAACAGTACTGCACCTCAGCACGGCCTTCTGATCTTACTTATTGTATAAACCAGCCTATAAAGATGACATTTTGAATAAAAGTGCAGATGGAATAAAAATAATGAACACTCACACCCCAAAAATCCATCATGTTTAATGTTTTTTTTTCTTCTCCAGAATCCTGTTTATCACCCAACCTCTGTGTCCATAAACACAGCCAAGATTCAATGACTGATACATTCAGGTTTCTTAATTAAATTGTCTGCTCTTTCATTCTTAAAATAATTTCTGAGGAAAACTAATCTACTTCGTACTACCACTTAGTTTTAAGCAGAGTGCTAGATACTAAGGGTATGCAGCTTAATTTACACAAGGCAACGCAGTTTTTTGTAAAGCACATCTAAGTAGCGAAGCAAAACAAGCATCATAATGAAATTGAACAATAAAATAAATGTATGACATTATTATAGAATACATTTGAATAGTCCATAAATTCCAATTAAAGATTAAATTGTAAATTATGAGAAAATGTTCATCAAAAACACAGGAATAAAGTAAACCTATAATTTACATTTTAAAAGTCAGCTGAGTCAGAGCACATTCAACACATTCTACACACACGTTCTGTGTGTAGCAAAGAAGATGAAAACAGCATTACATGTTTCACTGGTTATGAAAACTGTTTTGGCGTATTCTTTTACCTTATCCTGAATGCTTAACCACTACTTTATAATGCTAGCATATTGTATTTAGCATGGTACACCATGGCACAGCACAATAGACTGCTACCTTGTCAGGATTAGGGCTTAAAATCAGATACACATCTGAGGGAGTACAGCCAGCCTGATCTGAAATCTAATACCTCAGACTGCTCATGAGGAAACTAATATGTAATTGTGCAGACTATCTCATTAACCCATTATCATGAAAGTTGATGAATACAGCGTTGGGTTTTGCTCTTATGAATACAGTCAGACTGTGTCTACAGCAGACCAAAGAATTAACGAACAGACATAAACCATTCAATATGAGAGCAGTGATGACTAATGTAAATGATGATGTGTTTATTTTACCAGCAGTACAGAACATTTCACCACTTAGCTCCAGCTTTTGAGAAGAAGTTTCAAAAAGCCATATGCAGCAATAATTGTTTACCAGGCCAAAATCATGTTTAATTATAAAGTCTTACTATGAGATATAAAAAACAAAACAAAAACATAAAGTACAAGAAAAAGGATATTAAAAAGGTTGAACTCCCAGGAACTAAAACATTAAGTTCTTAAAGCTGATTTATATAGGAAATATAATGAAGCTCTCTCACCAAATTCATTAAATGAAAGAGCATCTCGCTTATATAAGTGTGTTACCATGTCCATCCTTTTTTATTTTAATCTGGTCTGACTGCACTTGGAAAGAGCTATTGTCTTAATGCATATGAACAAAAATAGTTTGTAAAAATGTGCCCTGAAAAGCTAGATGCAGATATTGAAAGGACCATTTGAGTTGCCTGTCCTCAATTTTCATGGCAGAGAGAAAAATAATGATACTTGTATTTAACAAGACAAACTTAGTAAAAATTAAAAACACAATAAAGCTGTTATCTCTGGTCTACAGTTTGTTAAATAACTAAATCTGAGCGCAAAATACATTTTTTGTAAGGACAGAATTAAAACCCTAACCGGTTTTACGTTTTTAATTTCAAGTAAAACATGATTGAACATTGTTCCATTAAATATCTAACATGTGACTCCAGATGTTGCCAATAGATGGCAGTGTGCTAACTGAGAATTCCTGGAGTGTTGTTTTCAAAGAAAAAGCAATCAGTCTCCTCTGTTATACAATTGTCAAGGTTTTTTTGTTTGCTGGTTGCTGTTGCTGAAAAACTAAAAGGCCTCAAATAAAGATTTAAGTTCAAGTGATGTTTGCATGAAAAGGAAAACATAAGCAAAGGGGTACAAAAACCGAGCAAAGAGCAAAAAAATATATAAATGAAAGAAGCCAATTTAATGTTACATCAGAAATGTTTTGAAGAAGTTCTGAAAGAAAGAAAAAATGAGACCAAGTGCATAAATATCACCAATAGCAGATAAAACTGCAATCACACAATTTTCCTTACTATACAACAACATGCTCTTCGTAACATGGTAAATATATTTATAAAATACCCTTGCAACTCCATTATGTTGACCAGAACCTTATAATTTAGTTTTTTCTAAGGCGATTTCTGCTTGCTGCCTTTTTTTCTCGCTTGTTTGTAGTTTCACTTTTAGTCAAAATAAAATACAGGTTACTATTTTGGCAAAAAATACAGAGGTAGTTTAATGAATACAAATAAAACACTCTCTATCATTACAGACAAAACAATTTCCATTAGCAGAAGCAGAAAAGTGTGTTTTCTCTGACATCCAATAAGAGCACTGACACACAGGAATGTAATTCTGCAGGCACAGGGACCCAGCATCCTGTGATGAAGCTACTCAGCCTGCAGGTTGTGTACTGGAATATTTGTCCTAAGAGGAGAACATTCTTATGTGCAAGAAGTTAACATGGAGAAACCCTGCTCAGTGGTTTATGCGCTGGTTTTAACGCTTGGTGCATTTCTGCACATTGCTTTTGCTGCAGAAGCTAAAGGCAACTTGACAGGTATGTTTGTTTTAATCAGAAGGTAATCTTTTGTATATGTTTGGAAAAGTTGTCTACAAAAATGTTTGTTTCATGACACAAACAAGTTGTATAGCTAATACAAAACGTTGTTACCCCAGTGGTCAAAGCTGATTTATCTCCCTTTGTGATCAATTTTTAACTCTCTCTCTTAGTGATTCTTCCAAAGCCAGGCCACTGCCCTCGTCTCTTGAATGCTGTCCCATCTCATAAAGGCTGTGTGTGTGATGATGACTGTCCTGCAGACCACAAATGCTGTGTCTTTGACTGCGGAGCTGTCTGTGTCCCTCCTGCTTTCAGTATGAATCATGTTTAAAGCTTCTCAAGTGTGCAGCTGATAAATCTTCAGTTCAATTACTTTCAGAGACTAAACTGACTCTGATGGGAATTCAATAGGACAACAGGTTGTCCAGTCCAATCAAAAGCTGTTTTCCAGACTAGTGTTACAAATTTCTGTTTTATTCCTAATTATTCCATTTTTCTTGTCCCTACAGCAAAGCCTGGAGTGTGTCCTCGGAGGCAGTGGGGCTCAGGCCTTTGCGCTGAGTATTGCTCTAATGACAGTGATTGCCCCAATGAAGAAAAGTGCTGTAACAATGGATGTGGACATGAGTGCATTGCACCATACACAGGTTAGATCTGGACAACATCAGACCCCCCTGCAAGTCTTCAAATTTTGTGTGATGACTTAATGTGTGTGAGTTATTTGATACAGGATATTTTTGTCTTTGGTGTTTCAGTGAAGCCAGGTCGCTGTGCTCTACCCCAGGGAACCCCCATGTGTGCAGAGTATTGCTATCATGACGGTCAGTGTCCAGGAGAGCAGAAGTGCTGCAGAACAACCTGCGGTCATGCCTGCAGTGAGCCCTGTTGATTCACAGGACAGCAGCACTGTTTGGATTCTTTTATTCATCTAAATAGAAAATGTATCGAGTAATGAGAACGTCTGTTTTGTGTCACACATTAAGCATTAGTTTTTTTTATATTGAAGAGATAAATTCAATTGCAATTCATAACATTGCAAAGGAGTTTGCTATATGCTGCACTTTATGTACAAACATATGCATATCTTGATCATTTGTTACTATGACTCAGTCAGGACCTTTTTGGTGGATTAGCATCCATTGTCTAAAATAATCTGAAGAAACTGTGTTTGTATTGTAACTAGTGGGAACTTTTAAATTACCTTCATTTGATGCAGTAACCCTTTAGTTCAAACAATACCTGTATAAGATAATTAGCTCTTCAGGTATAGTTTACATGATAACAATATTTCTGTACTTCTCTATGTGTTGCTTGCTTATGACTTTGGGGTATGGATCGATGTAGATTCACTATGTTTCAAACAATAAACATTTTACCAGAACTTTGAAAGTGTGGCTGAAGTGTCTCGTGTTTCTTTTAAGGCTTTCGTTGGAATGAACTGGACTGTGAAAACAAATGAAATATGCCAAGAATGAGTAGTTCTCTTTGGCAGAAAACAAATCTCTTTCAATGAGTGAACAAGTACCATTCGTAACCTATTTCAAGATTTATGAATTATACATTTACATATCTCAAAGGTCACATATTATGGAAAATGCACTTTAAATTTTTTGGCACTGATATGTGTCCCTAGCCTGTCTACAAACCCCTCGATTATGAGAAAAAAATCCATCCTCTCCGTCTTTTCCTTCTCCACTTTTCAGAAAATGTGTGCTCAAACAGGCCGTTTGGAGATTTTCCCTTTGTGACATCACAAAGGGCAGTAACCCTCCCCTAGGAGGGTGACACTCTTACAGTTAGGTGTTTGTTCTGCCCTCTCAGTCTGAACATAAACCATTGGGCATGGTGCAAGAAAGCCAAAAGCACATCCACTTCCAGAGGGGTGTGGCCAAACAAATGTTTTTGAGTAGGGCTAAAATGAAGGGGTTTGAAGGCATGATCAAAAAAAATCAGAGAATCGAAAAAGACCAAGTACTTTGAGTTTTCTGTTGTATCACTACACTGATTTACACAAGTCTTGTCCACAGGATTAGAGAGGATTTTTGGAAAGAAACTTCACTATACAGAAACGTGTTGAAAATGAGTTTAATATGTTATCTTGAAAACAAAGCTTAAATTGCTTTTTTAAAACATCCAAATTCAATTTGTAAAGTACAAAAGTGCAACTACTGTATAAAGTGAACTTAACAAAATAATCACAAACACATGTAACGGATAAAGTGAAAGCTTTGTCAGTGAGACTCAAGCGAGGCACATAATGCATCCCTGAAATACAGAGCCTGAAGGCAGAGCTCTGCTCTCCGTCTGTGTGTCTACTTGCTTGAGAGATAGCATAGTTTGCAGCTGAGCAGAGATCCACATCACATATGTGGAATGCTGTTATTTCCTTTGTTTTTGTTTCATGCTGTTGCCAAACGTGTAGGGGTGAGAATCGCTGACCGGCCAAATACAGAGACATCTGTGTTTGTTCTTCATGAGTCTGCCAGAAGGGGCCAAGTTTGTTTACACAAAAATGTGGGCACTCAGTGGGAAGCAATAGAGCTGCAGCTCAGCTTAGAGGGAGAAACTTCTTTCACAGGTAGTATTTTGATTCAAATGAAGAAAACATGTTGTTTATTGACAAGGCAACAAAGAACATTAAAGATTCAACACAGACCCATCCATTCACACAGTCCTGCTTCAAACTTCTGGACAGACAAGCAGAACAGAGGAAAATGTTACTTTTGCAAGATAGAATTTCATAGAAGAGTCAAATCTTTTTCATAATTCACCATAAACTTGGCTCAAACTGCATTGAACTAATGAGAAAGGCGAAGCATGCATCCAACAGCCAATAAGAACAAAATAAATAATCAGGAAGCAGAAAGTCATGTCTTTTCCGCTCACCATAAAACACACTTTATTCAACTTTATTCATTTTGGTAACTTTTCAGTATTTCTGTGGTCACATTTTATCATATATATTAAAAACTGAATAAGGAACTTTTACATAAAGAGGGAATATATATGAACATTTTAAAATCAGGCTATGATGCTGTTTGTATTTGTGTTTGGGAACAGGGAATTCCTTAGTTGATTTCCTGCCATGACTTAGGTTTGTGAAAATATGTCAAATTGTTTTATCATTCCTTAAATATGCCATTGTTTTCAAACACTAACACAATGTTTTGTGGCTGTGTCATGAAGTTATGGATTCAAACATTCACAAAAGAATGAAATGGTAACAGTTGGAAGCAGTTAGTTCAGCAGTATACTGAACAGCTTTGGTTCCTCCAGCTTGTTAAACAATAACAAAACTCTGACTTTTCAACACAGTAGGCAAATGTCTACAATTTCAATAATCCTCCATAGCTGGCAGAAAAGTATCCTGAACAGTAATGTCCAAAAGAAACATTTGTCTTCTTCCTAAACAAAACCTTCAAGTTGTCCGTCTTAAAAAAACATTCAAACCAGTGCTTCAGACTCAATTTGTCCCTGAATGTGTCACATGTTTACCAGTGGTTACACCAAAAGGAAAACTTCCCTTCTAAAATTGGAGCAAGTTGGATTTGTGACCGGCCTCAGAGTAGCGGCACACCTCTCATTTTGCGGATGATGTTGGCTAGCCGCTTGGCCAGTCCTGGGCTGGGCTCTTCTATCTGGAAACTCCGGGTCAGTAAGTTGTAAAGGGAGCCATAGCCCACGGCAACCACAGTGCAGGTCAGGCAAATGACATTATAAGGCATGCTGAAGTCTGGAGTGGGCAGGTTGACCAGAAGAGGCTCTGTGTACACTCGTACGAAGTAGCTGGACTCCTCTTTACATGGAAAACTGGGAAAGATTTGGAATTTGATCATTTAACTTTCTCTATAGAAACCAATACAACAGATGAATGAGCAGCAATAACTCAATACTTACAAGCTGCTGAATAGAGGGCGTTCCTGAGTGCTGTTAATATCCATGGCAACAATGCTTGGTACAAGGGAACTAATTACTGACGACCTAGATGTGGAAAAAACAGATTTTTGTCTTTTTGTATGTCAGAGAGATATGACAGATCCTAAAAATAAACCCCAAACCCCCAAAAGAAACCTCAAAGTCGACAGATCATCAGCTGTCAAACAAAAGAACATTTCTTGTATAATGTATGATAGACATATGCTAAATGACACTGTTTTACCCTTATCTACCTTTCCCAACTCTACATTTAAGACTAAGAAAAATGTTTTGATAAAAGAATAATTCATGTACTGTAAATGAAAATCAGACAACACCTACATAAGAAACAACATCATCTTTCTCAGTATTGAAATGAACTTGTATGCCTACCCAACATAGAAGCCGTGGTTGGGATCAGGGGTGTATTCAGTCCACTTGAGCAGAGCCCTCTCAAACTGTACTGTGACCTCAGTGACGGAGTTAGGAGGAAGCTGGACCAGCATCTCCAGCAGGTGGGGCCTCACACGGTCCTTAGAAGGCTGGTAGTGGATGTAGCCTACAGTATTTAGAGTGTTAAAAATGTATCATGATTGACTAAGGTGTACAACACAATTTGACAAAACTACATGAATACCAATCATTAGTTTAAATAATGTTTGTATATAATGTAAGCAAAAACAAAGCTAAGACAAGTAGGCAGTAAAAAGGATTTTTTACTAAAACTATGACAGGAAATATGACTCATTTTCTCCTCCTTCTGGTGAAGAGAAGCATCTGCATGGAAGTGAATGAAATAATGATTCCTATCGGATAACTTGGAGGGTAAAGGTGCATCTAAGTACAACATTTTGAAAAGTTTGTTCTGGGAATCAGCCTGTTCTAGTCTTTGTTTGCTACCACTTAACAAAACTGCAAGACAAATCACTGATCATCAAATTGCTGACTCCTGAGTGGTGGTTAAAATTGTTGTTAGATGAACATGTGTCTATCAATTCTAATGAAAGCAAAACAAACAGATGTAATGTAACTGGGAGGTATCTGATAAGACGTGTCTTTTATAGATAGTTTCAAAATCATTTTGGGATAAAGTGAGGAATATTTGGTGCTTATAATTATGCTTTTCCACGCATGTGTGACGAAAGTGGTGTCAGCTACTCTACATAATATTACTATTTAAACCAGCCTCTGCAATCAGTGTGTGAATGTGTAGGTTTGACTTGCAGTGTAAAAGAGCTTTGAGTAGTCAGAAGACTAGAAAGCACTATACAAGCTCAAGTCCATTTACTCACATGTTTACTGTAAGTAGACCGAGGACTGATACTGATTGACATCAGGTTTCTCATGAAGTAACCAGTTGTGACATGCTTTATTAATGTTTCTATTCTCTGAGAATTCTATTGTATAGCATTTGGATCTTATTAAAGAATTCTGAGTAGGCCTTCATCAGGGCTGGAGATGAAGGCCTGCATGGCTGAAACATGTTGTCATGTTCATGAGTCTGTGGCCCTGATGAAATAAATGCTTTTTATTAACATCCCTCTGAGTGCCTCAGATCTCTTCAATAACTTCTAAGTTGAATTACCACGCTGAAGAGCACCAGGGGGACAATTCTTTGTAACATTTTTTTCCATGCAGCACTCCACTCATCTACTTTTTGATCTTTTGCAGTTCCATGTTGACATCCGTTCTCCATGCTCTGTAAAGTGACTCACTGGGCGTGTTGTCCTTTCCCTTGCTGGTGACAGTGAGGGTGTGGATGTAGAGTCGAAGGTACCACGGCACAGAGTCAAGCAGCAGCACAGGGAAAGACCTGTAGGGGTGGTTGTTGTACATGAGCGTGTGAATCTCTCCGGTCTGCAGACCGTAACCAGCGACATAACGCTCTGCGTGGAGCAGGGGACGCAGCATGTCACCTTCAGGGAGCCAAAATGAGAGGAGGTTTTGATGATAATCCATGAGGTAACCATTGCAGCAGAGACAATAAATATGACAGTAATACCAAATTAAGATTCAAGTCTACACTGTGCCAGTTTATCTTTCCTTCTTTGTTTAAAAAACATTGTGTATCTTAAAACTTTTACCATGGGTGACAAAACAATTTGGAATTATCTTTCATTGACACCCACTGCACAAAACAAGAACAGTCTTATTTTATTGCATTTAACGATGATCTGGGTCTTTTTGCTCAATTGTTTTTATGGTAAACGATCACACAAGTCCAGCCATTCACTCAAAGCTGTGTGTCATACTGTGCTCTTCTCACTCACCCTCACTGGTTTTCCATCGGATCAGCAGGTTGAGGGAGCGCATAGTGCCAAAGGTGATTTGTTGGGTCAGATCATAGACAGAGAAGGTCCGTCTGTCCCCCAGCACCACTGCTTTGCTCAGCAGGGGAGTGGCCGGGGTCACCTCAAACTGCTCCCCCTGCAAAAATCATCAAATCTCTCTCAGGCAAATCTGTTTCCCACCTCCATACCAACTATTAAATGAAATTAAAGAAATACAACATTCACTTTGTAACCTGCTGCATCGGTTTAAACATTTTAAAGGTCCCAGTTGAGTTTATTTTCTTAAAATGTAAATATTAATAATCCCTGTTACCAACAAGAGCACAACATGTGTCTTTGAGGATCAACAAATAAATAGCATTTATTTTTGGAGTATTTTTAAGTTTATATTGTTCATTCATGGCCTTTGCAGCCCCGTTGCAGCATACCTGAGGTTACCCCCAATGGTTAAGACCAAACCCATAAGAAGAATGTTCTTATTGACAATTGAATTGTCTTGATTTTGATTTTGCAACTCTTTACGCAGACAATGATGATAAATGCTAAATGGACTTGAGCTTGTACAGCACTTTTCTAGTCTTCTAAGTGACTACTCAAAGCGCTTTTACGCTGCAAGTCACACCTACACATTCACAGACCGACGGCAGAGGCTGCTCTGGAGTGAGACAATCAGAGTAACTAATCCCATTCCTACGCATTCATACGCCACTGACGAAGCAGCGGGAGCAATTTGGGGTTAAGTGTCTTGCCCAAGGACACATCGGACATGTTGCTGCAGGAGCTGGGGATCGAACCTTCCAGTTGAGAGACAACGACTCTACCAACTGAGCCACAGCCGCCCCAATGATGGAAGTTGGCATGAGCGTTCAGACAACTTTGTGTTGCCTAAGGATTTATTATATTTATTGTGCTTTTCTATACTAACTAATTTTTTGTAATTATTATTGTGCCTGTGCATTATGAGCGTTTGGTGTGTGGCCGCGTGCACTTGCAGCTGCAGGAGAAAAGAGGATGAACTAAAGGGCATCGTCTTGGCCTGGATCTCCTGACCTGATATTCTTTACTAACCTAAGTTTGTTGGGCCAGTCTGTGCACAAACAATACATTTCTTATTTTAAAAAAAGGGCACTTTCTCTATAGAGGGGCAAAACAGCAGGTGCTCAAGCCCCTTTTTTTTTGTCTCTGTGTGCATGGCCTTCACACACGCACATATCTGTTCAATAAACGGTGTGAAAACTTGTGTCTTCAACACTGTCAAAGCCCAAAAAGAAAAAAAAAGCTTTGTGTACTCATATGCAACAAGGGGTTTATTTACCAAACCAAAACCACAATGTCATGACTTAGCTTGTTGATTTTCTTTGGCTTAGTGAAGTCATGAAAAGTAAAGTCATAAAAACAAAATCTTGGATGTGTTGATGTTGCTGCATGGTAGAGGTGTAGGACTCTGATGTAAGCATGGTGGCAAAAAATAGGTAAGGTAACCCTGTAAAGAGGTAAGCTGTAAATATCTGAGCTTTTATACTACTCTCAACAGTTCTGTAGAACTTGTCAACTTTGGCTTCATCACTGCATGAAAGGAAAGACATAATCAATAAGAATGGAAAGCATATTATGTGGGAATCAAACCTCAGGATTGTCTGTGACGTCGATGTAGATTTTACTGGAGGAGGCCAGTGGACAAGCTTCGGTCAGGGTCCGCGAAAACATCTTAAACAGAGACCACTCTGAAGGGACGAAAAAGCTTAGGTGAACTTAGGCCAGAGCAATGTCATCATGTTTTCCCCCACAGACATCAGGGCTATTAAACTCTGGATTTTATTGTTGGAATAATGCAGTTAGAATGTTCTTTTGTGTACCTCGTTTTCCCTGGGACGAGGTGTGCAGGTCAAACACCACATTCAGTGTCTGTCTCAGCTCCCAGGATGAAGTTTTGCACTCCCAGTCCTGGCATACAGGTCTGATGTGCACTGCCTGGGAATGGAAACTGCTGTGAAAGAGTTTCTCTGATTTCAACAGGACAGCTAGACCAGCCTGCAAGGACAACATAAGAAAAAACAGAGTTAGCCGCAAGCACACTAACTTTGAACAGCAAAGGTTGTAAGAACACTGACATTAAGAATGTCTGTCTCATAAAGGAGGTTCAAGATTGAAGTCAGAGTTTGCATCATGAGATAGTTAGATAGGGCACATTTGTATCGACAAACAGAAAAACTGACCTTTGATCCACATGGCAAGAGTTTCTTCCAGGGTGTCAAATTCTCAGTACAAACAATTTCTCGTGGGAGGGTAGCATAACGAAGGAAGCGGTGGTCTGTATCTTCAAGTCCCCAAAACAATAAAAAAAATTTTTAGTAATGCAATAAATCTTTGACAGTTTCATGCTGCACAATTGCAAGACATATTATGGTACCATTAGCATGACACAGGCTCATCAATACAGATCTTTATGTATTGCAAATGGAGATACAAGAAGTCTTTTTGTACCATTTCCTATTCCCAGCGGTTTGAAGGATGCACTGGGCTGAACAGTGTTGGTGGAGTCTATGAAGTTCAGTGAAGCACAAAAGATCCCCGACAAAACATTTGTCAGCTCCTTCCACGTGCCATCCACACTGAAAGGAGCAGAAAATGTGTATATTAATGCATGGAAAGAACATCAGATAGCCAGGCATATATAGGTACAGCCATTTTTTTTTTTTTATGTTAAAGGTTTTGCATGTAGAAGTTATCAGAACAAAAATGAGCCTCGGCAGACGCCCAAGCCAGGGACACTGCTTTAATTTTGGTCTTCTGCCAATTGTTTTTACAAAACTGTCTTTTACTTTTTGGTGAAACTAGTTTTACCCTGTCATGCCACATTGTGTTTGAAGACAGTTATTTCCTAAATTTCAAGTTACTGTGACACATACCTCTCTCTAGATACGTTTCTTTCAGTAAGATCTATCAGCATTGGCAAATACATGACAAGTGAGACTTTGTCTTTCTGTGGGACTGCCTGTGTGACCTAAGTGTTCACCAGTGATTCCAGTTATGGTAAGGTTCAACTTTTTGTTATGAGTCTCAGTCTCGCATAACTCACTGACGGCAACTTCTCAGATAAGCTTTCGGTCTCATTACTTCAAAAAAAGCACAGTCATTTCACCCCTAATGCTCCGCAGTAACTGGAGAGGGCCACACTTACTCTGTCACAGAATCTTGGAACCAGACCCAGAGTTCAGCTCCTGGAGGAGAGGGCAGAAAAGGCTGCCCCCACTGCATTGTCCTCCAGTAGCCCTGCGTAAAGGAGATGTGCAGCTCTCGCACTGAGAACTTGGAGATCACCTGGCCCAGAGACTTCGGATACAGCCGATAGTGGGATACTAAAAAAAAACAAAAAAACACAGCATTACACAGTGAAGGGTTAGTGTATTGTATTGTTTATTGATATGTACATGAATTGACTGTGTACTATAAAAAAAAGAAAACGAGGCATTTATAGAAGTTTTAAGATTTCTATCAAGCATGTTTTATATTTCTTGGCGAGTTGAGCAGTGATGTCTCATCTAAATGTTTTGTGTCACTTCTAAATGTTTCAGTATGAAACAGTACATTCTGCTCCTGTTATTTCCATTTCCATCTATATTAAAAAGGAAATAATCTTCAGAAAAGGTAAAGGGGTAATAATGGATTTGAAGTGTCTGAAAATGTAAATTCTGGTTGGTGTTTTTTGTTTTGGATTTTGAAAATTTCAAAAAAAATCAGAGAATCGAAAAAGACCAAGTACTTTGAGTTTTCTGTTGTATCACTACACTGATTTACACAAGTACACAAAATACTAAAAGACTATAAAGTACACCTGTCTTATCATTTTAAACAAGTATGTATTCAAACAATACTTGTAACCTAAACCCTCATAAATCATGTGTAAGCAGATACAATTTTCACCACTAAATGATCCACCAAACAGGAATCTGGTTTGCACTATATTACGACACAAAACGATGCAGTAAATGATAACGAGGTGACATTCTATTACCATGTAAGTTCACAAGCCTCTGACAACCAGAAGTAAATCTAATGGACTTTCTTTTTTTTAAATCAGGGCTAACACTTAGCTTACCTTTGTTTCCACTCATGAAATCTGTTTCCCACAGTGTGCGAAACTGGAAGCTGGCATAAATATCTCCTGAGTGCAAAGGTCTGATGACCAGTTCCTCTTGGAAATCATCTTTGAAGCTTGTCGCTGAGGAGGGGACCACTGTGTCCTGAGCAGCAGGCTCCTGTTGTCCAGGTGTCTCCTCCGCCGCAGGCTGCTCGCTCACTCGTCCAGCGGTGTCGGTGTGCGGACTGTCGACAGCAGCGGCCCGGCGGTCAACATTCAGCTTCGTTTCTTGACTTTCTGCGACAATAAATGCTAACCAGCTAACGTAACAAAAAACACGCAGAATAGCCGAGAAGCTGCACCTGCGACCTGCCATTTTTCTTTTTTTTCTTCCGGTAGTGGTTCACTTCCGCATTGGTGCGTCATACACAGAACCAGCCAATGGGATGTTTCCTGATTCTTAAGGCATTGATATGCACCTTCTTTGTTAAAACGTGATTATTTCTAAGACATTCCCTGGAAAATGCCAACATGGAAATACTATACTATATATCATTAGAAATCATTAGCAAGTAGTGGAATTTACTCCTTTTATTAACATTTATTAAACACAATTGTATTTTAAACATGAGGCTCCCTATCCCTTGTTCTCTTAACAATAAGCCTGTCGCACTTTTGACAGGATAACTTTTAACTAAGTGTTTGACAGAAGATAACAGATTTACAAAACTGTTCATTTTCGAGTCCTCCTTGATAAATAAAATTGCAATGCATATTAAACAGAAAATATCCATTATCAAGCCTACCCTGTATAGACTATAACATCTCAATTGGTACATTCTAAGTCATTAACCAATCACAGGTATATCCATCAAACTAATCCACGATTGCTTGAGTAACTCGTGCATTTCATGACTATACAGATGTTTAAAAGTATAATAATACCCAATTCTCGAGAAGGGTGCGAAGGGGAAGCGTGAAAAAACTGCTAATTAAAAAAAACAACATTATTATAGCCTACATACATTTTCAGTATGCTCTTCAAATGTAACAATGCAGCATAGTTGTGCTGAAAATGTGGTGGTCGTGTTGCTGGACAGGGACGGGCATCATCGGGGGCATTTTCACCCCTCCCACATCTACACATCCACGCGCACACAGCCCAGACACACACACACACACACACACACACACACACACACACACACACACACACACATCCATCCATACACACACACGTACACACTCGGAATTTCTGCTCAGCCATGGCTCCCTGGTAGATGCTAAAAGCGGCTGTTGTCAGAGCGAATTAAATCTGCACTAGGTTGCTGCTTTCCTCCTGACCTTGCCTGCCTCTGGTTGGGGTTTTCAATATTTTATTCAGGATTCCTCTGCTGTCTCCCCATGGCTACATCAGATGGACTAGACGGCTGTCTGCAACGAGGCAGATCTCAAAGTGACCCGAACATACTCACCGAACCGGGTATCGATTTGGCTCACGGCACAGGTAAGATCAAGACGCGACATTGTCTGGATATTTATTTGTTTCTGGGTTTTTTTTTTTTAAAGACGCTTTTTTTTTTTAGAGATGCGGCGATGCAACCCTGCTTTCCCGGAGGGATATCAGCAGCACGGGGGGATAATTAGCGCATATATACCAACCTTGGTCCTAAAATATGGACTGTAACACTTGAATCGTGGAGCTGCAAATTGAAAATGAATGTGCCATATCGGCGTCTATGACTGGCTGCATGCCCCTCCAGATTTGCGCGTTATAAAGACGCCTGTAGCCCGTTGAGCTGTTATGGCTCCAAGTAGTATTTAGGAAACAGCGTGTAGGCCATTACATATGTAATATTAGCTTGTGCAACATTTACAGCTTCTGTTGCTTTCCACATGATGCCAACCTTCCTATTTTGCACAAATCTGTTTGTGGTCCATGATGTCAGGATGAGTGTAGCCTATTTTGATGTCCTATCTAAGCCACCATAAGAGCCACACAGGAGCCACATGGGTTTTGATGTGTTGCATATTAAAAAGGCACGTGCACGTCACTTATAGCTTCTATATCTACCATGTCACAATGACAGCCATGTCATTTCCACCCCCTTCCCTCGTCCACATACTGAAGCGACCACTGTTGTGATCAATGACTGGCAGTCCACGTGATGCAGCCTATAGGTGAAAATGCCCCAGTTCAGTTCAGCACAGCACATGCACTCACAAGAGATCGATTCGGCAATTCATGGATCCTGCAGGTGTTGCTTTCCAACATGGAGCCCTTGTGCGTCTCTCTGTGGTCTGTTAGCCATCCCCTCTGCATATGGAATAATGAATTGATCTCTTCATTAATAAGAGAACACCAGGGAGCAGTCATGCTCTGCACTTCTCTGATGAACTCCTGTAAATAAACTTCAGGTGATGTTTATTGTGTTTGCTCTAAATGCTTATTGCTGCTGAATTACCAAAATAGGCTACTTCCAGTTCAAATTTATGGGTTAGTTTTATGTAAGTGAGGCTATTTGTGGTCGTATTCTGTGGGCTTTGGAGAGAGTCATTGCTCACTCCCACACATGATGAGTTTTACGCACATGCAGAATACTTGACTGAATGATTTAGAAAAAAAAAACAGTGCCATTCACCTTTCAACTGTTCACTAATGAGCACCACGTTTTTACTTCCCTGTAATCACACCTGTCTGCACTCATCTACCCATAGCACATTTTGAATGGACCCTTGCTGAACTTAAGCCTCCTATGGATGGTTTAATTGACACATAGGCGGATGTGATAATGCCACACGGGGTTTTTGACACACCTGAAGAAACAACACAAGCAGCTTAGCAGATCAGCACTGCTAGTGATGAGAGCTAATGCTAATAGGATACAAAAATATCAGCCTCATACCCTGGAATTTACACAACCGCATCACTGTCTAAGATGTTAATAGATTATACAAATGAAAGAAACAGTGAATACAGTTGTCAATGCAAGGACAATGTCAGTGTCTGGTGACCTAAAGTACATCATACCCCCCCCCCCCTCTCTGTGTGGATCATTGCTGTGCTAGCGTCTGGGACACCAGTCTTTGCCAAAGGATTACTTTGGCCGAGACTGCCTGTTTTCCCCCAGCACAGTGGCCCTTGCAGCTGCAGAGCCTGACACTGTATTCATCCACTTACTCAACACTGAGGGGAAGAGTCAATAGAGACAGCAGCTTCATTTGACCATCACAGAGTATCAGACCAATGTTCCATTCGCAAACAGCAGGAGCCTCAGAGAAGGAAAAGTCAGAACAGGGCTCAATACACCTCGCCAAAGTATTCAGTTCTCATATTTGTCTTACAGTCTATGCTCTTGCTATGTTTTTTTGTATGCCTGCTTGAGTTTTGGAAACTTAATGGACAATTAATCTTTCAATTTCAGATTCAAATTCTTATTTTAAAGTTATTAAGCCCAAAAGTGCATTTGTATGGAGCTTCAGCATAAACTAGTTTCAGTAGTCTGTTCATATAATAACCCTTTAGATTGTCCTGATTATAAAATGACACTTTCAGTAAAACGTCCTCTCAATCCATGTTGAACGTTGACTTAGTGTTGATAGTACACCTTAAAGCATTGTGGACAGGATGTGTGTTCAGGCACGGCTGTCCCTGTGGCTTTGTCCCATAAAAGAATTGGTTCGTCCTATAGTAATATGCCAACAGCTACATTAGACACTTAACAGGGAATTGAATGAGTAAATCAGAATGAATTATTTTAAAACACATACACATGGTGCAGATGTGGCTGCATTATTTCCATCATTAGATAACCTTCTGGTCTTCTTTATAAACTGATTATTATTAAAGCCAATAAATTGTCATATGTTGAATATACACACCAAAATGTCCATGAGCCAAAGTGACTTTCTTAACAACCACAAAAATATTGAATTTAGCATAATATCAAACACAGAGTGCAGCACATCCTCTTCAGTGAGTTGCAGAACTCAGGTTCAGCCATTTTTTTTAATACACTACTTAAGTAGGTGCCAATTACCAAATTCCCCTTAAGTGAAAATCTGTCCTAACAACAATTTAAAAAGCTGTTTCTATTAAGGAAATTACCTGTCATTTACCAGCTCTCTTAGGACACAGGAAAGGTTGATTAAAGCAAAATAACACGATAGAGCTTACCCTGCTAAAGGCGACTTGTACATGGTAGATATATTCTCATAGGCGATTAAAAACCCAAACAGTCAGTCTCCAGTTTTTTCCCCTTATGGGACATTTTCTCCACTAGAGTCCCAAGATCAGCTCGTTTTTTGGGTGTTTCATCCTCCTCCACCTGTCTCACTGAAACCTGGATAATCCTCTCAGATCTGACATCAGAGGAATCTCTGTGGATTTCAGGTATAAGTGAAGCCCCCCTAATGAACAAGGAGATATATCAAACCCTGTGAAAGCTGATATAGAACCGTGACAATGACTCAACCAAACCAGAGCAATGTCTTGTAGATAGTACATCAGGTCTTGATGAGTAAATATGGGACATTCTGAGTCAGTGAGTGTTATATAAATGTTCTCTCCTTTTAACAAAGCGTTGTTTTAAATGAATAATATTAATAAACACAGAATGGTTTTAGTTGCGCAGGGATTTTTAGCAAGAAAGAGCAATCTGCTTTTGAGATTAAGTTGTGACAGACACATGTAAGTGTGCTTACAAATCTGCACTTTTACAGCTAAACTACAGACTCCGATTATATGTCTCATTGTGATTTCTGTGTTGCTGAAACAACACCATAGAGAATTGAGGAGCACAATACCACTCTCTCATCTCCATGCATACTATATACTGTATGACGTTATTACCAGAAGAGTGTTAGCTTAGCTCTGTGTAAAGAGTGGAAAAGGGTGAAAAAGCCAATCAGGCTCTGTGAAAATATGGCAAATTCTGACCACAAGCACCCATAAAGCTCCTAAATAGACTCAATGTATTATCTATACAAGTCCCAAGGTAGCCTGCAGTAGATGTTTCCCCATGTTTCCAATCTTTGTGCTAAACTATGTTAGCCAGTTGCTGGATTCCCATTCATGCTGTATCTGGCATACAGACATACAGTATTACATAGAGCAAGAAAGAAAACAAGCATCCTGGACTACCTGATGTATATTTCCATCGATCAGTGACGGCAGTTTTTGTGAATGACTTTGAACATCCTCTTAAGTTGAGAGACAGGGTGTGAACTTGTTTCTTTACGCTGAACTTCATTCTTGTTAAGTGGTTAATGGAATTTAAAAAAAAAGAGCAACAGTTACTGAGAGGTGAGACGTTTTTATTAAAAAAGTGAGAAGAAGTGAGAATAAATCCCCAGAGAAGAATTCCTTTATAGCAGTTCAAGTCTGTTAATGACTCTGTAACTTGTAGCGCAGAG